AACTGCCTTAGAGAAGGGTATAGTTTCTTAAAGAGAAAAGAAGCTATACTTACCTCTTGGACACCGCATATATCTACAAAAGGATTCCCTATACCGTGTCGTCGTTATAGAGTAAATTAAGAAGGCATTACTCTGTAACAACAGTAACTATTTTGGTGCTGAGGAATTTTTTGTTAGCAGTGACTTTTATGATGCTGAAGAATCTTTTGTTAATAATGACTTTTATAGTGCTGAGCAATCTTCTTTTTGTAATAACTATTGCATTGCAAACTATTCTATTATTCACAACTATTCTATCATCCACGACTATTTTATTGTCCATGACTATTCTGTTTATAAACATTCTGTTCATGACCATTCTGTTGCCCATCATTCTGTTGCCTATCATTCTGTTGCCCATCATCATGATAATTCTGTTGCCCATGATTATTCCATTGTCTATGACAATGTTGTTGCCTATGACCTTGGTCAATCCGCTGTTCACAATCTCGACCAGCAATCTCTTAATGAGTTTTTCAAGAGACTGAAAACAGCACTGGATATGGACTGTTATATCCAATTGCAGTTGGGATAAATTTTAAAAGCTGGGAAGAAATTGACAAGTAAGTAGTTTGTATATCATTATTAGAACATATTGTAAAAAAAATAATTTAAAATCAATCAAAAAACTCTTTCTGGTTCTCATCTAGAAATTTGGTAACAACAAAATTACTATACAAAACTCATCACTTTTTATACAAAAACAACAAGGTACTTTAGGGGCTAAGGCCCTTACATACAAGAAACATAAGCAAGATAGTATGGAAACATCTAGCATAGATAACCTAGAGTTTGACAAAAAAAAATAAAAAGACAAGAACTTCAGCTACTAAAGAAAAAGAAAATTTAGCCAAAATTTGGGGAACAAGCTATAAAGATGCAGAAAATAAGGAGTTGCTCCAAACAGTAGGCCAGAGCTCAGACAATACAGTTAATGTCGCAAGCAGTAGTTGTATACAAGAAAATATAGCAGAAAACAAAAAAGAAACTGTTGAGAAAACCAAGTGGTAGAAGAAGAAAACAGCTAGTTTACCCAAACAAATGACATGTTTCAAGACTCAGCAAAACAAACAACACATGTGCCCAATAAAGTTAACAACAACAAACACGTGAACAAACATGTAAGCAACCAATTAAATGAAGCCAATAAACAGACAAAACCCAAACAATGGTCAAGTCTGTTTTCTAATCTCGAATGAGGCAAAGTGACTTTCTCAACCTACTCTCCAAGGAAGAGGATTTATACTAAAAACGAGAACACACTAATCTTTGAGCTACACAACTTAGAAAATATTCTCATTTCTCTTATTGCAGCCAAACCAATCATCAAAGAGCTAAAAAAAAAAAAAAAAATTGTCAAAATATTTAAGCCTAAAGTCAAAAAAACTTTTACTTAGAAAAAATTTGTCTCTTTTTTATTAACTCACTCTCACATATTACTCATTTTTAGAAAAAGAAAATAAAAAAAAACTTCAAATAAAGTTAGTAGTATAGTATATAGTAAATAAAAAATAAAAAACTTAAAAATTTAAAAATTAATCAAAAAAACTAAAATAAATTGAAAGCTTTTTAAACTTTGAATTATTTAAATTTGTTCAAATCAGTGTTTTGAATTGAGCCAGCTCAATTAGGCTTACTTAATATTTCTATTGGCTTATTAAGGCTTATTTAGTTTTTATACTATATAAATGATATTCTTGAACATATTATATATTATATAGCTTATAAAACAAATAAGGCTTAAATAAGCCAAGAGGTGTAAAATAAGCCTAATTGAGCTGCTCAATTCAGAACACTGGTTTGAATTGTTGCAAAAAGCTTAAATTGTCAAAACAATGTTAATTGCAGATCTAATTATATCCTATTTATAGTAAAATACTTGGCACCTATCATGTAATTTTAATTTTATTATAAATACATATTATTGAACTTTTTCAAAATCTGAAATATTTTAAATAATTTGATATAATTATATTATATTTGGATTAATTTGATTTATTTAAAATAATGTAAATAAATTTTCACTACTACTATTTATAATAAAACTTAAACTAATGTTAACATAATGTATATGTTATAATTAATTCGCAATGATTTGAATAGAGTTAAATTATTTACAAAATATGATTTAGAATATAATTTTAGTTAGTTTGAAATGCTATGTATTAATTTACAATTATTATAAAATGCACCTATAGTATTTAGCACCATATATAATTGTTTTTAATAAAAATTATGATTAGGGTGCATTTTTATAATTTTTTTTATATATTATAATATATATTAGATATATATAAGGTTTTAATTTTAGTTTTTGTAAAATTTTTGGGGTTCTGAACATTTTTACTTAGAATATCTAATCTAGTTTACTTAGTACATTTTTGAGAAATAAAGACCTATCCCTTAAATTGTAACACAGTCAAATTTGTCTGCGAAGATTTTTACTAATTTTTTTAATATTTAAATTTTTTAATAAAATTTTGAATATTAATTTTAG